TTCCCTTGTCAGTCAATACGTAAGTATGAATCAAGCTGCTGGACTTGGTCCAGCGATCCACAGACTTCCGTATTTCCTCTAGGAAGAAGGTTTTTGGTTGGTCGCGCAACCATTTATGCACCTTTTCCTGTACTCCGATTCTGTAACTCTTAACGACAGTGTCGGAATCTTTAAACTGTCGTTGCTCGTAAAAAAGCTGCTCAACGACAGTATGATGTTTTCAACACTGTCGTTATATTGATTTCTATACTCTGCCATATGTAAATTTTTATTTATTGATAAATAATAATAGTAACATTATTTGCTAGTATTTCTTATTATTTGTCTCTCCCTGCCCTTAGATAATTTTTTACTCACTCTTGTATACCTAAATATTACCTAATATTTAATTATTAAAAAATCGTGTACTCGACGATACACGACAAACAATATTTAATATATTATTAAATATTAACTATTATATTTTATTATTACAGAAATAATATAACAGTCAGCGGACCTTGGAATTCTTTCAGCGGAGATATAATGCATAATTGTTACCAGGTAAAGAAAGAATTAACCAAGACTATCGGAATTAATAGAGCGAATTTCGACAAACTATCTATTGCACAGTCAGGTGTAGAAGTGTAAGTATTCTTAAAATGTCCTAATGTCCTTTACGTCTTCACGTAATTCCGATGCGTCATCAAATGGGACGTAATTTTATCTTAATGCAGGACAATGCTCGCCCACATACTGCAAGAATTGTTTATAATTTTCTCGAAGGAAACAACATCTGATGCTGCTACATCCACCTGTAAGTCCAGATTTAAATCCCATCGAACACGTGTGGGATATGATGGAAAGAAGGCTTCGTAGTTTGGAGAGACCGCCAATCAATCTCCAGTAACTGGAAGCAGCGTTACAACAAATATGGTGGGATATTCCACAAAGAACACTTACAATTAGAGCCTGCATTAATATGCGTGAACGTTTGCAAGAAGTCATCCGAAGACGAGGCGGAAATACGCGATTTTAAAATGCAAACGTACTTATCTACTTCGC